CAATAAAATACAACTAAAATATAAAATGGACATTGCCAGAGCTACCGGAAATCGATTGACTGGAAATTCTACAACAAGAAAAGAGAAAACCAGAAGGAAAATCAGAGGAGCTGTAAAAGCCTAAGGTACGGAGACACGCTGCGCACGCGGAGAGGACGGAGCTTGAGGGGGGGGAGGCTGAGTGCCTGGCTGGCGTTCCCTAGCGGGAAGGAGATAAAAGCTCCAGACTGTGCTGAACCCCAGACCCAACACCGCTGAACCCCAGTTCTAGGCCAAACTCTGGGGACCCAGGCTCAAACAGAGGGAGCCTGGGCTATGAGACGGAATCCCAGGGGAGTGGCGAAAGGCAGAGCCCCCGGAGGTGCGCACATTTTGTGCAGAGAAGGGATGGTTGGCTGTGCGGCGGGATTGCCCTGGCGGGAAGGAGACAAAAGCTCCAGACTGGGAAGAACACGATGAGGAGCGGGAGCCTCCCCCGGGCGCCGGCAAGGAGCCAGGCAACAGGGCCCCCCAGGGGAGAGGTGCCTCTGGGCCCTCGACTGCTGATCGCGGGCCACGGAGCCGAGGCCAGGGGCTGCTTCCTGGGTGGCGCCAACCCCAGCAACAGGCTGAGGCCGCGCAGGAGGCCCTGGAGAACAAAGGGGCGCTGCGGGCCAGCTTGCTGAGCTTCCAGGATGAGGAGGAAGAAACCCAAGAAGTTTTCAATGTGGAGAAGTCAAGTTATAGCAAAAAGATAGTAAAATTACTTAAGAAAGAATACAAAGAAGATCTTGAAAAATTGAAGATTAAGACAGAACTCAACTCATCAGCCAACATTACAACATAAATGAGTTTAAAAAAAAAAGACAGAATGTTGGAGCGACAGAGGCTAGGCCCAGAGTGGTCAGGCCCGGAGCAGCCGAGCCCAGAACAGCTGGGCCCGAAACAGCTCGCTCCTAGCCTGCCCATGCCACAGGGCTGCCTCTCAGACATGGCTGGAAACTTTTGGGGGAACTTGAGGGTCTGCTGAATCAAGTGACAAAGGCTTAGATCTGGATGTGTTGAGTTGCTGTAGGGCTGGGGTGTTAATCTGTGAGTGCCTTATGTGGGCTCTACATAAGGTTGGTTGATCTATTTGAATGTGTCTTTTGTTTGAAGTGTATCCTTGGGAATGTGGAGGTATTATTGATTTGAAAAAATGCTAAGTAATTGATTTGCTACCTGAAAAATTTGAAGTTCTGAAAGTTTAAGGTCTCTTGCCCTGATGGGCCCCCAATGAGAGCGGGACCATGGCGGGATGGGGGGAGCAGGTGAGCAGGCAGCATCAGGTCAAGGCAGGTGCAAGCAGGAGCCCGATCGCCCTGCCCAATGACCTGCAGACAGCGACCAGTGGTGAGGGTGGGGAGGCCTGCTGCCCGGCTCCCGGTGCTGAGGGAGCCCGACATGGGGCCGATCGCCCCTCAGATGATGACTAGCAGGCCCTGATTGCCCTTTCGGGACAGGGCCCTGGTCTGGGACAGGGAACTGGGGGTGGGTGGCAGCAACTAATCATGGTGCCCAGACAGGGGCTGCAACCTCTCCCCAGCTACCTGGGGGCAGGGGTGACAGGGAGTGAGGTGCCATAGGAATGTGGGGTGTCTGTGGAGCTCGCTCTCACTCCCCCTGCTACCCTTCCCAAGGCTCACGTACTGGAAAACCTCCCCCCACTCCCGCTCAGGTGCCAGGAGCTCGCAAGGAGCCCACCCTGCAACTGCGCAGCTCTTCCAGGTAAGCGGGGCTGCCGCCACCAGGACCATAGGGGCCAGTCGGTAGAGAGCGCGCTGCCCACCCAGCTTTTGTGCAGCACTGCTGGGCAGCCCAGAGGCCCACACTTGGCCCGGGCCCACTGCATCCAGCGGCACTCACACATCTCCCATGGGGACTCAGCGCCATGACTCAGGCAGAAGGGGGCACACGGGGGCCCAGGTGCTGCCCAGGACCCAGAGGTCAGCTGGGACCTGCCCTTCCACACAAGACACTCACACTTGGATCGCCGGCCAGGCCTAGGGACCACACCCATGCACAAATTTCATGCACCGGGCCTCTAGTAATAGTAAAAAAATAAAGTGATTCCCATACTCCCCAGCCCCAATCACAACCTCAAAATCAAAGAAAAGACAGCTGGATGACACTCCCGATCCTTTTCCACATGAGGCAGCACATGTACTGCAAAGAGCACAAACTTTGGAGTAGGTCACCTTGGTCCAAGCAGGTACCCTACAGACAGCAGGTCTGTTCACCTCCCCCTCTGGTAGGAACGGCAATAATGTAACCTAGCAGGGTGGGTGCGGTTAACTGATACTGAATAACTTGGAAAAAAAAAAAAATGAATACATGAACAATAGCTAGCTTATAGGAGATACTAAAAAAATGGTAGTTTCACCATATACCATTTTCATCTTAATTAGAGTTTAAGTTTTAAAAAGAAGTATTACTAAGGCTCAAGCATATGACAACTAATACTCCGAAAAGTTAAAATGTCAAGTCAGTAGGAAATGGACAGGAAGAAGTTCCTGGAATAAATAAAGAGCTGTGATGCCAGGGAAAAGACCCTCCTCCTCTCACACACAAACCAGGCAGCAGCTGCCTTGCATTTTGGGAACAAGATCTGCTTTGCCCACATCCTTGTCCCCTGGGACACCTCAGATGAACCGCTGGTGTGATGCAGAAAGGAAGTAATTAGATGGTCAACCTCACATACACTGTGGCCACCCCCATGTTTTTAAATATGTGACTCAAAACTTACTTCAAAAAAAAATGTATGCCGAAACCGGTTTGGCTCAGTGGATAGAGCGTCGGCCTGTGGACTGAAGGGTTCCGTGTTCAATTCCAGTCAAGGGCATGTGCCTTGGTTGCGGGCACATCCCCAGTGGGGGATGTGCAAGAGGCAGCTGATCGATGACTCTCTCTCATCAATGTTTCTAACTATCTCTCTCCCTTCCTCTCTGTAAAAAATCAATAAAATAATTTAAAAATAAATAAAAGGCCACCTTAAAAAAATGTACATGGTAATCATGAATTATGAGTATATACTGGACTATAGAGTCAACTACTACTTTACTAATTAATTGCTCACAGGTGGTCATTTCACAATGCTCTCTTAGTTACCAATTAAAATAAAACCTGAATACAAGGTTGGGTGGCTAGTTTAGTCAATAACCAATGGAATCCTGCCCAGGGGGTCCCAAAGTTCCCTGGGGAGGAATGTGTCTGTCTTGATTCATCTGACATTCCTTAGAGCCTGGCATACAGTGGATACTATATTTAAAACTTAAAATTCACTGAAAAATCCCTATGCCCATGTTCTGAGCAGCATTACTCACAGTAGCCAAAAGGTGGAAATAATCCAGGTGTCCATCAATAGATAAGTGGATAAATAAAATGTAGTATATACACACAATGGGGTATTATTCAGGCTTAAATAGGAAGGAAATTCTGACACATGCTACAACAAGGATGAACTTCAAGGACATTGTGCTACGTGAAATATGGCAGTCACCAAAAGACAAATACTGGATGACTTCACTTATATGGGTATCTAGAGTAGTCAAAGCAGACAGAAAGCAAACTAGTGGTGGCCAGGGGCTGGGGAAGCGGAAAGGAAGTTAGTGTTTAATGAGTTCAGTTTCAGATTTGCAAGATGAAAAAAGTTCTGGGAATGGACGCACAGCGATGTGAATGTACTTAAAACTACAAAACTGTACACTTAAACTGGTTAAAATGGTAAATTTCATGTTATGTATATTTTAAAGTTTAAAAACAACAAAAAATTTCATTGAAAGAATAAATGCAGGATGGACTACTCAGCACTACTTTCATCACTCACTCAATGCTCTGCCTCATTCCTCTGGGTTGTTCATTAGAGAATTCCAATCTTACATTTCACAGATGAGTCAAGTGGGGCTCAGAGAGCATCACTGATCTGCTCTGTACTGTCATCTACTATACAGTGCTGCTCAGCATTAACGGGGTATTACTGTACCTGACTGGCTGTACACCCCATGAAGACAAGAGCTATGTCTTGGGTCTCCTTTCTATGCCCAGGACCTGCACACACCACCTACAAGCTCCTTGAATTTTCTGAAATCCCATGGGCCTGAACATCTGTATCATAGATGTCACCGTATCTCTTTCCCAACTAAATCACTCAAGGAGGCAGCCTTAAAAAGACTTCTGTCCCTGGAGGCGCTCACACCCAGGCTGGGACATCACCCACTCCCCAAGGCCTATCACATGCCCAGGAGCTGGAGTACATACAGGTTGGGACAATTTCACATCTGAGGGAGCCAATAAGTCTTCTGCAGGAGGGAGGTAAGGCTCAGAAAAGTTACCACGACGAATGATAAATCTTCACGAATCTAAGGGAGCACTGAGAATGGATATGGAAAACATTTTCAGCAATAGGCTGAGCTGGATCGGAAGGATGAGGATGAATGGCTTTGCAGGCACTAGCAGCCAAAAGGCCAGAGCACGTGGCACACACAGCAGCAGACTGGGTCTCCAAAGAAAGCACCAGTCCTGACTTACCTCTGCACATCACACACCGTTTCCGCACCCACAACCTGCAGGACCCCGACACGGTGCTGCGCTGCATCTAACCGAGGCTCTGAAGCCAGACTACCCGGGTTCGAACCGTGTCACTGTCCCTTAAGAGTGACCTTGAGCTGGCTCTGTGCCTCAGTATCCCCACTGCAGGAGAGGGCTGGTGTGCTAATTAGAGAACACATGTCCATCACTAAGCCCTCAAAAACATGATGGCTACTGTCATGCTGAGCTACCCTCTGCGAGAGGCAGATGCATCAGGGCTGTGGCAGTCCAAGAGGCAGCCTGGGGGGAAGGGAGCACCGAGCGGGGCTGCACACCCTGCACGCATGTCACTGCCCAGATCCGCACCCAGGGAGAAGCGATGGCTCAGCAGTCCCGGGCCGCTCCCACGCAGCGCCCCGGCACCCAGGGAGGGCAGGGGCTCGGGCCCCACTTACCATGCTGGCCGGGGGAAGGGGCGGCTCAGGTGAGCTGGCTCTCGGGCTCCGGATACGTCCCGTCCGCACAGTTCAGGTCATGATCCCGGCAGCCTCGGGAAGTCCCCACCCGTGCAGAAAGCACCGCTTCCCCAGCCGGGCCCCGCGGGGACCCTCTAGAAGGAGCGCGGCCCCCCGGCCCGCCTCATCGGGGACACCCCGAGAGACTCATCCACACCCACCCGCCCCTCCCCAAGTTCACTGAAGAAGCAGGAAATAGGGCTCGGAGGCCGGCGCGGAGGGCGGCAGCGCGGGGGCCCCCGCCCGGACCCGACCCCCGAGGGGAGGCTGCGGGCCCAGGCAGGGGCTCCCCGGCTCCGCGTTCAGGAGCGGCGGCGGCGGGCCCGGCCCCGGCCCCGGGGCTGAAGGAGCGGATGCTGCAGGGGCCTCGGCGGCGCCGGCTCAGGGGAGAGGCCCGGGGGCCCGCGCTGTCCTCGCCGCCTCAGCCCACACGGTGGCCCCCGCCGCCCGGCACGGCATCCCTCGCGCGTCCACCCCGCGCCGTCCGCTCCCTCTCGCTCGCGCGCGGCCGCCCCACCAACAGCCCCAGCGCGCCGGAAGTGGCGAGCGCCCGGCGTGGCCCCACAGCGCGGCCGCCGGCTGCGGCGCTGGAACCGGACCAATCCGGAATCGGGCGGGGGGCGGGGCCGAGGGGCGGGGCCGCACCTGACGGCTCCCGCTGGCCCCGCCCCGGCCCCGCCCCGCGCCCGGCGCCATCTTGGTAAAGCGGGGCTTTCGCTTTCGCTTCCGGCTCATTCATTCCGCAGGCCCTTAGGGAGCGGCTCCTGCGCGCAGGGCGCCCGGCCGGAAGCCCGGGGCCCGCGGCCTCTGCCCGGGCACAGCGACGTCCATCCGGCCCACACGCGCGCGTGGGCCCATCCGTGGCCCAGGCTGTGCTGTGGATGCCAGGGCGCGAGGTTGCTGTAGGTCCTGCCCTCGGGGGGGACAGATGAGCAACAAGCAAGTGAACAACTGTAAGAAACTAGGAAAATATATTTTTTTATTTTTTTTTAAATTTAAAATATTTTATTGATTTTTTTCAGAGAGGAGGAGAGAGGGATAGAGAGCTAGAAACGTCGATGAGAGAGAAACATCGACCAGCTGCCTCCTGCACACCCCTCACCTGGGATGTGCCCGCAACCAATGTACATGCCCTTGACCGGAATCGAACCTGGGACCTTTCAGTCCAACAACCGACACTCTACCACTGAGCCAAACCGGTTTCGGCAGGAAAATATATATTTTTTTAAAAAAGAAACGAGGAAGGCTTTGAGCGATGCGGACCCGGGGGCTGAGAGGACATGAGCAAAGAAGAAGGCACTGCAGAGCTCCTGGGTTCTGGGTCCGCCAAGAATGGGATGGGCCGAAACCGGATTGGCTCAGTGGATGGAGTGTTGGCCTGTGGACTGAAAGGTCCCGGGTTCGATTCCGGTCAAGGGCATGTACATTGGTTGCGGGCACATCCCCAGGAGGGGCGTGCAAGAGGAAGCTGATCAATGATTCTCATCGATGTTTCTAGCTCACTCTTCCTCTCTGTAGAGAATCAATGAAATATATTAAAAAAAAAAAAAAAAAAAAAAAAAAAAAAAAAAAGAATGGTATGGGTTCCTGTTCCTGCCCTCCAACCCACCTTACTTGTGAGAAAGTGTTCATTTTAAACCCTACCAGACCGCTGTACCGATTTTTTGGTAATTTCTGAATCTGCCGCTTATACCGCTGTACCTAATTTTTGGTACTTTGCCTAGACCTATTTTCTACAATGTCTCCAAGTCCCATCTTATTGTAACCATTTGTTTGCATGTAACTAACATTTTTCTATAGCATGTTGCTTTTTTTTTCTCTTTAATGCTCAGGAGCCCAGGTATAGGGGAGAGTTAGGCTCAGGGCCTCAGGTCTGGTAGTTAGGAAATAGAAGCAGGAAACAGCCCCTGGCAGCACAGGTGCCACTGGCTGTGCCTACTGGGAGGACTGGAGCACATCTGCATGGCCCAGAGCTTTCAGACCACAGAGTGGATCAGAACCGCCTGGTGGGCCTGGTGAAACTGGCTGCCCTCGGAGCCCCACGCCCAGGGTTTTAATTCAGTAGGCCTGCGTGGGGCCTGATGACTTACATTCCTAACATTTTCCCAGGTGATGCTAATGCTGCGGGTCCAAGGAACATTTCAGAGAACTGCAGGTCACTGCTGATGTAGCTCCTGACCACAGAAAGCTTTCACTTATCCTGTCATCAAATATTTATGGTTGCCCGCGGGAGGGACAACAGCTGTTCTGAGGAGTGAGTGCTGAGCAAAACAGATACATTTGTGTCCTTAAGGAATAAAGAGACATTTTAATAGCGTTATACAATACGTAATCAGTTACACTTGTAATAGAAGCATGAAAGAAAAATACAATCCACCGTGAGCATTAATAGTCAAGGGGTCTAAGCTAATTTTGAGGGTTGGGTGGGGAGGTGATCAAAAAGTGGCATTTAGGCCGAAATTGGTTTGGCTCAGTGGTGGAGCGTCGGTCTGCGGACTGAAATGTCCCAGGTTCGATTCCGGTCAGGGGCATGTACATTGGTTGCGGGCACATCCCCGGTGGGGGATGTGCAGGAAGCAGCTGGTTGGTATTTCTCTCTCATCGACGTTTATAGTTCTCTATCTCTCTCCCTTCCTCTCTGTAAAAAATCAATAAAAATATATTTTAAAAAAAAAAGTGTGCCCAGTGGTTGAGCATTGACCCATGAACCAGAAGGTCAAGGTTTCAGGCTCAAGTCCCCAGTGAAATCCTGAAGGAGGCAGCCAATTGATGACTCTCATCACTGATGTTTTTATCACTTTCTCTCTCTTCTTTCTCTGAAATCAATTTAAAATAGATATATATTTTTAAAGATGAACACTGCTTTTTTTTTTAAGTGACATTTATTTAAGCTGTAGCCTGAAAGAACTGTAGTTTGCTAAGCAAAGAGAGGAGGCATAGAATATTCTAGGCCGTAGAAATTCCAAGTACAGAGACGCCATCTCAGAAGGTAAGCATATAACTCAGGACGGAGGCCAGGTGACTTGTCCTGCTTTAGCTGAGGTTAGTGGGATGAGCACAGGCTTTTGGATGAGACCATTGGGAATGGAATCCCAGCTCAGCACCAGCTGAGGTTTGTTGAGCACATTACCGTCAGACGTCTTGATTTCCTCACTGTGTAACTGGATAAAATAACAGAAGCTCACTCAGACTGAATCAGAGATAAGTGTCTTGCTCCTAAACTCCCATAGCTGAACATGTGGAGGTAGGTCAGCTTCAGGCTAGAAAGGATGGGAGCCTAGGGTTCAGTCCTCTAGGATTTTCTTGGCTCTGCTCTCCTCCATGTCCTCAAGACAGCTGCCAGGAACAGCCAAGGTCACAAACCTTCCCACTCACGTCCAGCAAGAAAGAGCACATTTTCTTATATCCCTTCTCATGGCAGCAAGTTTTATCCTGCTGGTCCTAATTGGCCCAGACCTGCTCATCCCAGAACTAGCCACTGTGGAGGAGGATGGAATTGCTATTGTTGGCTTAAAGGATCATCCCCTGGTCTTAGCCAGTTTGGCTTGGTCCCCAGCCCTGGTAGAGGCGTGTGCAAGAAGCAACCAATCTCACATTCATATGTCTCTCTATCCTCCTCCTCCCATCCACTATCTCTAATAAATCAATGAAAAAATATTCTTGGGTGAGGATTAACAACAACAAAAGAATCATTCCCTGGAGTTTGTTTCAATTCCCCAGAATAAAGTGGATTGGGTGAAGTTATCATATGTCCACCATACTTCCATTGCCAGGCGAGGCAAAGATTATTTTTTTTTGGTGTTAGGATACTTTTTCCATTGATTTTTAGAAACAGTAGAAAGGAGAGTGAGAGACAAAGAGAGAAACATCTATGTGAGAGAAACACATCGATTGGTTGCCTCCCAAGCATGCCCCAACTGGGGCGGGGATAGAACCTGCAACCGAGGTACATGCTCTAAACTGAAATCGAACCCACAGTCCTTCAGTCCAACAGCCGATGCTCTAACCAGCCAGGGCAAGATTAAATTGAATGTATATGAAACACCTGGCACATAAGTCACACAATAAACCACCACTATTATTTATTTTACTCCAGGGATTTTGTCCAAGTCAACTGAATAACATTGTTATTAATATTAATATCAAGCCTATCTATTCCAAAAAAAATATTTAAGACTGCTGTTACTTTCTGTTGGCACTGCAGGAATGGCCCCTCTCCGTCTCCTGCCCATTCTTACTGCTATTGCATAGTCTCACTCATTCAGGTATTTATACAACAAACATTTAATGAGTTGGTATCAATTTTGTGGCACGCTTTTCAAAAACTAAGAGTTCCAAATGAATAAGATTTAGGCAAAGTGTGCACTGCCTCACTCAAGGATACAAATGCATCCTCTCCCAAGAATACATTGCCGCACAGTGTAAGAGGTGCTACAGTAGAGGTGTGTACAAACCTTCTAAGCCCAGAAGAGGGAAAGAAGCAACTAATGGTGGCAGGGAGAGTAGTTGGAAGGCTGAACAAAGATGGAAGCATTTCTTAAAAAAGAAAAAAAAAAAAAAAAAATATATATATATATATATTGATTTCAGAGAGCAAGAGAAAGGGAGAGAGAAACATCAATGATGAGAGAGAATTATTGATTGGCTACCTCCTGCACAACCCACACTGGGAACAGAGCCCAAAATCTGGGCACTGCCCTAACCAGGCCGTGACCTCCTGGTTTATGTCAATGCTCAACCACTGAGCCATGCTGGCCAGGCAAAGATGGAAACATTTCGATCATATTCTGCTAGAAAGATGAAAGTTCACCTGACTGCCTCAGAGTCCCTACTCCTCTTCCTATTCCAAGCTGCCTTCTACTATGTCAAGACTGTTTCCAGCCCTAGCTGGTTTGGCTCAGTGGATAGAGCATCAGCCTGTGGACTGAAGGGTCCCAGGTTCC